AAAGCTACTCTGAGCTCTAATAATTACATTCTCTAAAATATAAAAGCCCAATTGCCCGATAGTTTGCAATTTTAGTTTTGAGAAACCAATTCTTTCCTAAACAATGGAGTGGGTAACCACAAACACTTGTGGAATCTCTCTCTTCCTAGAAAACATGAGGAACAGGAGAGAAGCCAGTCTGTCTGGAAACTGCTTCAAAATCAGTCTATAAACAGGGGTTGGACTAGCCCTGGCTGGGTGGCTCAGTTGGTTGGCTCCCATACACCAAAAGGTTTCGGGTTTTCGATCCTTGGTTAGGGAGCGTATAGGAGGCAACCAATAGATGTTTCTCTCTCACATCGATGCTTCTCTCTCTCTCTTTCTCTCTCTCCTTTACTCTATCTGAAATCAATAAGCATGTCCTCGGGTGAGGACTGAAAAAAAAAAAACAAAATCTAAAAAAAGAAACGGGTTGGACTAGATTAGATGCCCCTCAGAGGATCCTACCAGACCTATTAAGAGAAATAACTAAAATAACTCTGTCATTTATACCCAGGAAAATAAAATAAGTACAATTTAACATCTCCTAAAATAGTCATTAGAAATAATTTTACTTGTACCTAGTGATGCTTTTGCAAACATCCTAAGCTATTAATTTGAATATAAGCTCATAAGAACATGACTTCCTCCCAATACTCCACTCAACTCTCCTGTAAATGAATTTTAATACATCCATTACTCACAGCACATTGTTCAGCTATTATATGTTGTCTTCTATTTGTATCTGTTTTACAAATAACAATTTTTGTTTCCCTGGCTGAAATGTAAGCTCCTCCAGAGAGTTTCAAGTTTTATATTTCTCATATACTCCTTTTTTGTGTCAATACTGAATTCACAACAAATGCTTACAAATCCCTATTGGCTGATGGACTGATTTAAAATGAAGAGAGTAAGCAAAAGCTATAGAACACTCTGCACTGAGCACCTGTATGAAGCTTTGGCAAAGTCTAAAATAAAGCTTTCAGACTGCTGTGGACTAGACTACTGGAAGGTTAATACACACAGGGGCCAAAGGGAAAGACCTAGAGTTAAAGATCCCTTGGTTTAGCTCCTGCCCTGGAAGGAATGAGGAGCTAGCAAGGTGAGCCCACGCACATTGCAGGCGGAGGCTGCCGTGGAAAGGCCGACACACTCCCCAGATCCCAGAGCTGTGCAAGTTCTGATTCTGCAGAGGCTCAATGATTCACTGTTCGGGCCAAGTCAGTCAGGTGGCAATAAAGAGAACGGGCCCAGCCGGGCGTGGCTCAGCGGTTGAGCACTGACTTAGGATCCGGGAGATCGTGGTTTGATTCCCGGTCAGGGCACATGCCCGGGTTGTGGGCTCGATCCCCAGTTGGGGGCGTGCAGGAGGCAGCCCATCAATGACTCTCTCATCATTGACGTTTCTCTCTCTCTCTCGTCTCTCTGAAATCAATACAGATATATTAAAAAAGAAAAAAGAAAAAAAAGAATGGAATGGAATGGAGCTTTAGAAAATGAAAATGTAATAACAGTATCTAAAAGAAACCTATAAAACTCGGGGGTTTTCATTCTTCATTATCCAAAGAACACATCTAGAACAAGACTAATGCATTCTAGAGTCCAGTCATCATGCAGGCACTGGACATGCTGAAAGATGGGGATGCAGAGCCCCTGCTCCTTTCTTTATATATGAAAAGGAAACTTCTTGTCCCTACTACGAGGCAGCTACTGTTCTGGGCACTGAGAATACAGCAGTTTACCAAACTCACAAGTCTAGTAACAATTACATAAAGCTTTAGCTGAGTATTTTGCAGAAATAAGAGACATCAAGAGTAATCCAAATCTCTTAAGAGGAAAAAAACCAAGGCCCAGAGAGGCTAACTAACTTGTCTCAGTTGATCATCGTGGCTATATGGCAACAAAGGCAGGAGTAAAAACAAGAATTCTTATCCTTCGCTAATGATGAAATTTACTTATTCATGAAGCAGGTATTTCTGTGTGCCTATTATTTGCCAGACAATACGCTAGGCACCAGGTATAGAGAAATGGATAAGATCCTGACCTTGTCCTCAAAGAGCAGTGTAACGGTAAGACAATGAAATGAGTCTAACAACAAAAGTGGTAATAGAGAAAAAAAAGCAAATTATATCTCTAATTGCATAGGACTTCCAATATTTTATTTTATTATTTATTTTTTAATATATCTTTATTGATTTCAGAGGGAGGAAAGGAGAGGGAGAGAGAGAGATAGAAACATCAATGATGAGAGAGTCATTGATCGAGCCCGCAACCTGGGCATGTGCCCTGACTGGGAATCGAACCCCGATCACCTGGATCCTAGGTTGACGCTCAACCGCTGAGCCACGCACGGCCCGGCGGACTTCCAATATTTTAAAAGAAAACAAAGTGTTAATAATTTCTTTACCCGCACCCTAGCCCTATGAGTACAGGGCACGGATCTTATTCCTGTTATACAGATGGAGAAACTGAAGTTTAAAGAGGATGAGGGGGTCTATTATAAGGTCATCTCCGGTGGCAGCAAAATGCATAGAAACGAAGTCTGTTTACTCCTAGGCATTTTTTTCACTAGATAGGAAAAGCAGATGTTCTTTTTATGTCTAGTTCCCTACTGACCAAGAGCACACATTTGCAAGATGTGTGCAGAACAATCTGCGGCTGTGAAAGTAGATTTAACTGTCTGAAGTCTCATCAGCTGAGTTTAGTCATCCGATGGTTGAGTAACCCACCAACAGGACAGCATTATTACTAGCATCCTTAAAGTGCCCATTACATATACACACAAAAGATGGAAAAGGTTCTGCCCCTCAGGGAGTTAATACTGTAGGGAATGGGCATAAAAGCATTTCAACAAAAAGTGACATAAACAAACAAACGACAACTAGAAGAACCATTATAAGTAATAGCAAATTTAAGACACTAAAGGTTTTGCAGAATAAATCTAGTGGGTGCTGCCAAGAAATATACTCTTTAAGGGTTAAACAGAGAACAGAAACCTTGTATACATAATGATGTACCAGTCCTTAGATGGTGATGGCAATTATATTATTATTTTAAGCCCTCACCCAAGGGTATTTTTTCTATTGCTTTTCAGAGAGTGGAAGGGAGAGAAAGATAGAAACATAGATGTGAGAGAGACACATCAATTGGTTGCCTCCTGCTCACATGCCAACCCGGGCTCGGGACATGCCCTTGGCCGGAATCAAACCCAGGACCCTTCGGTCCAAGGGCCGATGCTCTAACCACTGAGCAAAACTGGCTAGGGCCAATTGTTAGATTATTGAACTAAAGGCTCTTATCAAAAATGTTCATCACATTAAAAAAAAATTACTTCTTAATTCCATTTCACTTTTGAACTTTACTCAAAACAATTATATGAATATTCCATTTCCCTCTTTCTAGGAAAGTTATCTATTTTGTAACCTTTCTTAATTAAGAGTAATGAATTTATAACAGAGGTTCCCATCAGCTTGCCTTGGGCAAAAAGATCAAAACAGTGTGGTTTCCCTGTGCTATTCCGAAATAAAATGAATCTGACCATTTTCTCTTGTACATAGCCAAGTTTATTTACACAACCAAGAATTGCTCACTTCATAAAAGGGAAAAGGGAAACACACATTTCTTCATTTTCAAGTCCTGTTTTAAACATTAACTTCACTTGTTTGATAACTTCGTATCGTATTTTATTTATACCATTATTTATCATGGCCTTATAATATGACCAAACTGTCTTAAACTTTTTGGCATTTTGTAGAATTATTAACAAAATAAAGCTAAGGAGAAACAAGTATTAGTAATTTCAAACTACTGACAGGAAGAATTATTTAGGAACCAGCTAAATAGTAAAAATTATAATCATCCTTTCAAAAGAATAATGTTATCATTATTTTAAAAATACAACTTGGTTAAAAAAAATCTCTCTGGTATTTCCTGAATATACTCAGGGGATTCATACTTATAGCCAGTTGCCTTCCTTTTAAATATTTATTGAATTTTATAGGGTGATCAGTAGGAATTTAAATGACAATTCAAAACTGCCAGTCGGTTTCATTAGAATTACCAACAGGGCATCATAAAATTACTTCATGATATAGTCTAATTCCTAAGACTCAGACTCAGTTCCACCACAAGAAAACATATTTTAATACACAAAAGTTTAAAACTTAAATTAAAAGTGTGATAATCAACTTCCTTAGGTAGGAGAGGAATAGGGCTGATTTATCTCTAGATCAAGAGAAACCCCACTGGGCCAAACTGGATCCTGAACGAAGAAAATAACTAAACATGTAGCAACAGCGACACCTAGTGTTAACAACTGCAAGTCACCAGACTACAACTAAAGAAACAGCTATTCAAAACTTCTCTTTAAAAACCAACGAACAGAACTTGTACTCTGTACCTAAAAATTACCCATAATCAAAGTGTTTCAATAGATTTCCTTCCAGACATTAGAAAACCTTAAGAAAAAAACATCTTAGAGAGTTAACATAACACGAAAGACCTAAAGGTGAAAAAAAGCATTGTTTATTCTGTGTGGCCAACATCTAATTTAACGCAGAGGTAGTGTGGGACATGTTACTGATGACTGTATCATAAACATTTAAATTTCCCGCTATAAAAGCAAGATATTGCACAAGCTAGTACTTGATGACCCATCAAGAAAAAGCAAATTTAGGACATTTCAGGAATACCTGAAGATGCAAAGAAATAAAAAAAACTTTAGCTGTTACACTGAGAAACAAGCTCTACATTTCAGCCCTTGCTACCTTCCTATATTTTCATTGCTTTGAAACATCAACTTATTAAACAGTAGATATTTTTGTTCAAGAACTTTTAGAATTTGGCAGCATAGGTTAATTTATTTCAGTATTTTTAGAGTTTTATGCTCTAGATGAACCTATAAAAGCAAGCAGAATTCCAAAAATTATCTTGGGCTGGGAAATATTTTGTAAAAAGCAAAGTTAACAGTAGATGGAGCTTACGTATTTTTTTTGAAAAGTTCATCCTTTCCCCTTTTAACTCCAAATATTCTTGTGATCAAGGTACTGAAGAGAAGTGTGGATGAGTTTCTCACCTAATGTAAAATAAATACACAATAAAGGTTAAGAAATATTCATGGCATGAAACCAACAATTACAATGTTCAAACTAGACATTAAAAATTATTACCCAATTGGCTAGCGTGGGGCTAAAGAAAATAAGGTTTGTGTTCATAAAAATAAGACAGTTTTCAAAAACTTTATAGTATTTGACTCAATGACTTCCTCTTAAACTGAACTCTACAATCCAACTACATGCACACATATAGCTCTTTCCTATACTTATAATATTACTACCAATTGTTTTCATTACCTCTTTGTATTTGTATCACCAAATAACACTTCTTTAAAGAAACAATTCATTTTCCATATGCTTTCTGTAATTATTTACCTGTGAGAAATATTTATAACGCCTAACTAAAATAATCCACATTATTAACATGTCCAAGATAATATTTCATTTCCAAACTGTTGTTTATTAACGCCACAATGCCAGTAACCTAATAAAGTAATTTTAACCCTAAAATGATCTGAAACAACTAGTAAACAAAAATAAGAGAAAAGTTATCACTAATAAACATGAATTTCTTCAAAATGATACTAATAGAGCATATCTATTTCCAAACCAATGTATCAAGATGATTCGCTTGCTCACAAAAATATCTTGAATGACTGGGCTTCCTCAATTACCTTGCCAAAGCAGAGTGGAGACGTACAAATATACAGTGACTTCACTAGAGTGGGTCTATACCAGCACCACAGAGAATATCAGAAACAGAAGACACAAATTTACTGCAAACAGAACTTATATTCTAATGAGATAGGTCACAATTATATGGCATGTTTCAATAGCAATATAAGAAGAAAGGTAATAAAAAGGAACAATGTAAGATTTAGAAAATAGCTTCTGAAAGCCCTGCAGTCAGGGTCACAAACTCAAATGCTCAGAGCAGCAGAGAGAACTGGGTCTAATGAAGTCACTGTTCAGCTTCAGCTGAGTTGCTGCCATGAGGGAATGGAAGCCCAGTGTTGCCAGATTCTCTTCTTTTTCAAGAGAAGCCAGAAACCCCAATTTTTATGTGAAATTTCACTATTTTGAAATGTTGGCAACAAATTAAAGGGGGGAAAAAGAACACCATCGTAGAGGCCAAATAAAACACAGTTGCAGGCTAGATCTGACCAATCAGCCCTAGTCTGCAACCTCTCCTCTAGAAGCCCAAGACTGACTCAATTCATGCCTGGTAACTCTAGACGGGGACTGCACATACATTGGCACGATTCATACAAAAATCACAATGAAACCCTAAAATCGGATGAATTAACCTGTGTACATTCAACAGTCAACAAACATTAATGAAGCCCCTACTATGCCCTGCCTAATATCCCCAAACAACAAACCAACTGCCCTCTTAGTTCAATCAACATGACCTCTGCCCTAGCTCGGGGCTTGATCACCTCTTACCTAGTCTACTGATTTAGTTTCTAAAGTCTCCTAGGTTTAAGATGAACTGGTCATCTAGGACCCTGTCTCCTTTGAGGAATCACACAAAAACATAAGAAGAAGAAGAAAGCAGAAAAACACAATCTCCATCTTGCCCTAAACTGAACTTTCTGACCAGGGCTGCCAGATGCAGGAGTGTTGAGCAGGAGCGCCAGTGACGAAAGACGATGCCCGCCTAGGACGCCCCAATCAAATCGCCAGAGGACAGTTACAGAGTGGACATGTGCCACCAAGATGAAAACGTTCCTGTGATTCATCAGGCAGGAGGCAGGACACACAATGCCATTTAGTAATGTTCACGTGCATCGGTGGGCTCCAGTCTCATCAGGCTGACCCATTCCATTACCAAGTTCCCCCATTAGCAGCCAATAATCATCATTACCTATTCCAGTATGTGTAGCAAAATGGTGATATTCTACCATTAATTGGTTACAATTTTCAGAAAAGCTGCTATTTTAAAAAAAGCTTTCCATCATCAGCTACTTGGTTACCCTGTCACTCAGCAGTTAGTACAGAATGATTTCTACAAGTTCACCAGCTTGCAGAATGAATTCATGCGAAAGCAACCTCCAAAGGTGACCAAGTGATGACCTTTTAAGACTTTTTTGAAAAGTAATTTTCCCTTTACTGAGATATAACTCACATACCCTAAAGTCCACCATTTTAAAGGGTGCTGTTCAGTGGTTTTATCACATTCCCAAAGTAGGAAACTACCATCACCACCTAATTCCAGAATACGTTCATCTCTATAACCTGTCCTTTGGCATCCACAGGGGAGTGGTTCCAGGGCCCCTGAGGATACCAGGGTCTGAGGCTGCGCAAGCCCCTTGTATAAAATGGCACAGTGGCTGCAGACAGGCTGCTGCAGGTGCACCTACACATCACTTCATTCCTGCGGATCCAGTGCAGTCCTCGGCATGTGCCAAATTCAACTTTTGCTCTTAAAAATTTTATGGGATTCCCCTCCCCCCCCAATATTTTCTACTGCAGTTGGTTGAATCCGAGAATGCGAAACCTGAAGAGAATGAATGGCTGACCACACACGAGTAGTCATTCCCTATCCTCCGGCACTAGGCAAGCACTAGTCTACTTTCTTTCTCTATGGATGTGTCTATTCTGGACATTTCCTATTCATGAGATGGAGCAATATGCAGCCTTTCATGTCTGGATTCCTACGCTTAGCTGTTCTCAGCTTTAACCCATGTTATATCAGTATGGCATTCCCTTTTATGGCTGAATAATATTCCACTGTATGGACACACCTCATTTTAAAAATCTACTCATCATCTGATGGACATATAGGGTGTTTCCACTTTGGGGTTATTCTGGATAGTGATGCTATAAACATTGATGTGAACATGTTTTCATTTCTCTTGGGCGTACACCTAGAAGTGGTGCTACTGGATCATATGGTAACTGTCAACCTTTAGAGGAACTGCTAAAGTGGCTGCGCCTTTTTACACTCTCACCAGCGATGCACGAGGGTTCCAATTTCACGAACTCTCCAAACCCTCCTCAACGCCTGTTCTTGCCCATCTTTTTTATTACAGCTATCCTGGTAGGCGTGAAACGGTATCACACTGTGGTTTTGATTTGCATTCCCCTGATGAGTGCTGCTGTTAAGCATCTTTTCCTGTGCTTACTGACTATTTGTATATCTTTTCTTTTGAGCAATGTATTCAAACTCTTTGTGCATTTTTTAATAGGATTGTCTTTTTATCATTGAGTTCTAACAGTTCTTTATATATTCTGGATACTAATCAATATATGATCATCAGATATATGGTTTGTAAATATTTTCTCCCATTCTGTCAATTGTCTTTTCATTTTCTTGATGATATACTTTGAAACAATTTAAATTCTGATCAAATCTTATCTTTTTGTTGTTGTTGCTTATGCTTTAGGTGTCAAACCTCAGAAACCGTTTCCTAGCTAAAGGTCACAAAGATTGACATCTACTGTTTTCTTCTAGAAGTTTTCATTTTAGCTCTTACATTTAGCAGTTTGATCCACATTGAGGCAATTTTTTAATATGGTTAAGATAGAAAGCAAATTCATTCTTCTGCATGTGGATATCCACTTGTCCAGTATCATTTGTTAAACAAACTATTCTTTTCCTCATTTAATTGCCTTGGCACCTTTTTAACCAAATGTTGGGTTTTATTTATGGACTCTTAATTCTATTGCATTGATTTATATGTATCTATCCTTATGCCAGCACCACACTGTTTACTGTTGCTCTGAACTAATTTTTTGGCATGTGAGTCCTCCAACTCTTCTTTTTTGAGACTGTTCTGGCTATTCTGAGTCCAAATAACTCCAGCAACCATCAGTCCTCATCACAGGGAAGCACCAGAGAACCTTCCTGTTCCCCTGCCTCCTTCTGCCCAAGCCCCATGAGAGCTACAGACAGACAACTGCTACCCCAATTTTCCCTTCTATTCACTGAGTATATAGACTTTTTCCTCCGTTCTAGCATGAAAAAGCTTCCATCTAGGCGTTTAAGTTATAGAAAAGTTAGATAAATGAAAAAGTATTAAGTGTCACAAAACTGTGTGTACGTACGTAGAAGTGAGTATGCATGTATATATGTGTGTACAATATGTACAGCACACATTTGGTAACATATGTATGGTTTTTCTTATATAACATAAATGCTCCCTTGACAAATATTTAAAATATGAATGGAGAGCTTCCCATGTGCAATCACTATGTGATATGGTCATTTATACACCATACACTTTCACTAACTCATACACCGCCTACACATGAATTAAGAGAAAAGTTCTCTTCCTGTGAATGAATAAAGCTTCGTGCCAACCCATATAGCCTGAAAGGCAGAGCATGGCTGGGTGTCAGCACCACACAGACCTCAGCCTGGCACCCTTGTGGCAACTTTACAACTGCCACAAGGCTTGGAGATGTTGGTGCCAACGGAGCACAGAGTACATGTGGCAGTGCTACCGGGAAGATCTGAAAGGCTCTTTTTCCTCTGAAACCCACTGCAAACTGTGAAGCAGAACTGGCCTAAGGGAAGCAAACCAAAGATACATCAGATAGAAATAAAAGCCCAGTGTGAGTCTTAGAAGGACCCCACAGTGGCATAGTCAGTGGAATTCTGGGCCAGTTGGAAAATGAGCTATGTGCCCTGCAATGAGGGTGCCGGGAAAGCAGCTTAGGTGTTCCACAGTCACTGAACACAGAAAAGGGAATTCCCAGTAATGTCTGCTTCCACACACTGCCCAGAAAAATCTGTTTCCACACATGTGTACCTATAAATTACTTTATTATCTAAATTTTTAACTAAACTAGCTTCATCTCCAAAATATGTCAAAGATTATCAGTTGTCACCATCTTTACTAATATTTCTCTATTCTGAGCCACCATCTCTTGGCAGAACTATTACGATAGTTTCCTGATTGTTCCCTCTTGCCACCCTGCAACTGAGTCTCTACTTTCACCACATCAATCAGATCCCATTACTCTCCTATTAGGTGCAGGGTTTTTCAAACTGGGAGCCACAGTTTCAAACTCTAGGTCTGTCCCAACTACACCCATGCAGCTGTGGCTCATCCAGTCACATCCAGATGCAGATGAGAAGCTATATCACAGGGAATGGGTTCTGGCTTCTCTAGCAGCTGACCAAGGGTTGTGCCAACACCTGCCCAAGCTGGGTTAATGCCCCAAGGTGTGAACTTTGACCAATAAAAGACAGGAGATGGGACTGTTCCAAGAGGTGGTAAGTTTCACATGGCCTGTCTAGAAGATATATCACATGACTATACAACCAGCTCAGTTTTCCTGCAAGTTCAGGCCAGCTTGGTAATGTCTTTCCTCTTTCCTTGCCTCAGTCCCCTTTTTCCTTTATTCTTGCTGCTTTGGGTTTGTACCACGCAATAAAACTTTGGCACCTAGGCTGTATCTCCAGCTAAAGAACAGGTCCAAAACCCTACAAGGTAGGTAAAATGCACCTTCTCTGTATTCCTGTAACACCCGAAACTCTCCTCTATAACAGGACAGATTCTCGAATCAGACGGATAACAGTTGTGTGCCCTTTGACATGGTTATTTCACCTCTCTGAGCCTTGTTTTCCTTATCTGTAAAATGGGAATTATAATAATACAATCTACCTTGCAGGGCTGCTCTGAGCATTAAGTGTGATAATGTAAATGATGCCAGGCACATGGAAAATACCTAATAAGACAGCCATTATTATGATTACATCTTATTTATCCTTCTATTCCTAGTGCTTAATGTACCATCTGCAACACAGTAGGTGTGCTTAATGCCTAATATGTTTACAATACATTTCCCCTGTATTTTAAAAAATGCCTAATAGGTGGTAAAGACCAAAAGATTTGTATGGTCTCAATACAAAAGGTTGAGGAACCTGTAAAAACAAATTAAACATATACATGAATGCTTCCTGGAAAATGTTCCTTTACTGCAAAATTAAAATTAAGTTCATTTTACTTGTGTTTTTTTCCTCTTTAAATTATTAGAAAAAAATAATTGGCAGAAGTACAAATGTAGTCACCATTAAGTATAAGATGTATTCCTGAGAAAATGTGTACAAATCAGATTTCTGTAAATCAAACCATATTTCAAAGGCATTCAGAAAAAAATCACTCTTTAAATGACTTCAACAGAGAATGCTGTAGTAAATTGTTTTGTAAAATGAAGACTTCTTCACATTCATTGATTATGTTGATTTACAATTTTGGTGTATTTTAGGTTTTTACAAGGAAGGAAACATAACAATCAATTTATTAAATAAATATATGCATCATTATAGCCATGGTATTTTCTTTAGTAAAGCAAACAAATTGAGTAGAAACAAGGAGATTCCTTTATAACTAGTATTAAAAAGGAAGATTCCCCCCAAATAAAACTATAAAACTATAAAAACAAAACTATTTATGCAGCCTTTTGTGATACACATGTACATGTGAATACTAGACAGCTGTAAACCCACATAGAGAAAACAGGAAGCACACGCATCGGAATGCTAACAATGACTACTGTATGCCTGTACGGTAGTTCAAAGGTCTTTTACTTGTTCTATGCTTTCCTTCATTCAAAATTTCTGTAGTGCACCTGTTACTTTTAAAAAGGTCTCAAAAAAGGCTTTTTAAATAAACGAAGCATTCTTTTCTGATACTTTCATTTTGCCAAAAAGTTGGGAAGGTTACCAGGTTTCACTTTGCAAAAACCCTTTCACAGAGAACATTGCTTTGTTCACCTTGAACTAATGCCTTGAAGAAAATAATACTGATGTTTCTGGCAACCGGCTTTATGATCTCTATTGTTCCTGATGGTCAAGCCACATTCCTACCTCTGTGATTCAACTGAGGGCACACAGGTATTGCTCCACTTCCTGTAAAAGCATAGGGTAAACACTGTGTCCTCTGGCGCAGTTAGGCAATGCTCCTAGACAGAATTTCAGACAGCCGTCTTTATTACAGGAAGATGTACAATTTTCCAGGCAAGGGGTGGCAACCTTGGGGATTCTGTTTTACACTGGGCATCTGTGCCTTTGGCTGCGCTTCAGGGCACCGACTCTCGATTAGGGGTGCATCATGTAGTTATGAAATGGTTTGTGCAGCTAATTGGAAAGCTTACCTTTCTACAAAATTCTTCATTCTACAGGTAATGTATTAAGGTCTAGTTTTTCTCCTCTCATCTTGCCAAGTCTTTTTTTTTTTATTTAAAGCCAGATACCAAACATCTGTAAGCCATAGGTTTGTCTCCTTTATTTTAGAAGGCATGATGATATAGGATAAAAATAAAATCATGGTGTTTCTCCCAAGAATCATGAAAAAACATGCAAGTTTTACTTGCTTAAATCCAACAACTATACTGGGTATTGCCCACTATCTTTAGGGTTCTGAATCAAAAAGTTTCTGGACAGCAATTATATTGCAAAAAAAAAAGTGACTCAGTATTTAACCTCACCCATTTTAATGCTTTGAGTGTTTGTTTTTTCACCTTTTGATGGAGTATATTTATAGCAATCACTCAACACACTGATACCAGAGCTCACAGTATCCACAACAAAGAAATTAAGATACTAAGAGCCATTTTGCTTCCAGCTCAACATCACTAATCATCAGGGAAATGTAAATCAAAACCAGAATGAGATACCACTTCACATCTATTAGGATGGCTATTATTTTAAAAAATCCAGAAAATAACAAGTGTTGGCGAGAATGTAAAGAAAATAGATCTTCTGTGCATTGCTAATCAGAGCATAAAATGGTGCTACCACTATGCAATCTAGTTAAATATTCCTTAAAAAGTTAAACACAACCCGGCTGGGCATGGCTCAGCGGTTGAGCATTGACGTAGGATCCAGGTGATCGGGGTTCAATTCCCAGTCAGGGCACATGCCCAGGTTGCAGGCTCGATCCCCTGCAGGAGGCATGTAGGAGGCAGCTGATCAGTGACTCATCACTGATGTTACTATCTCTCTCTCTCCTTCTCCCTTCCTCTCTCTGAAATCAATAAAGGTATAGTTCAAAAAAAAAAAGTTAAACACAGAATTACCATATGACAAACACAAAAGAATTGAAAGCAGGGACTCTAACAGGTATTTGTACACCAATGTTAATGTTCACTAAAGCATTATTCACAATAGCCAAAAAGAAACAACCTAAATGTCCAAGAGATGAACGAATAAACAAAATGTCATATGTACATACAATAGAATATTATTCAGTCTTAAAAAGGAATGAAATTATGATACATGCTACAACATGGCTCAACCTTAAAAACACTATGCCAACTGAAATAATCCAAACACAAAAGGACAAATATTGTATGATTCCATTTAATATGAGGTACCTAGACTAGACAAATTCACAGAGACAGAAAGTAGAACACAGGTTCCAGGTGATAGGGGAAGGGAGGGGGGGGCATCTACTGTTTAATGGGTACAGAGCTTTGGTTTGGGATGATGCTCTCAAAATGGACAGCAGTGATGACTGCACAACATCGTGAATGTACTTAATGTCCCTGAATTGCACACTTAAAAATGGTAAAAATGGTGTATTTTTAAAAAGAGATAATTAATAGTTTAACCAAAAATAACAACATAGTATGGGCTTACAATATACATAAAAGCAAAATGTGTAACAGCACGAAGAACAGGAGGAGGAAATCAAGTACCACTGCCAGGTTCACACATCAAGTGAAGTGCTAAACTATCTCTTGAGGACAGACTGCGATGTTAAAGATACAGACTATAAACCCTAAAGCAATCCCTAAAATACAAAAACAAAGTTATGGCTAATAAGCCAACAAAGAGATAGTATGCAATCATAAAATATCAAGAGTGAAAATGTAGCTCGATCCAAGGATTTATCCTTTAAAGAAACTCCTTGATAAAATGCAGCACATATTTTTTATCATTCAGTGAATGATTCAGTTTATTACAACCTACTCAGAAGTGTAATTAAGTCAATGAAAATAAATGACAAAGGCACTTACTGCCCAGATTGGTGATGTAAAGCCTAGGATTGCAGCCTTAGCTCCATCAGCAACATAAGGAATAATATTTTCTCCCAGACGTGTATCTCTGAACAAGGCTCTAAGAATATTTAAAGCATGAACCTAGAATAAAAAGTTCAAAATTAGTTGTGGGTTAAAGGCTGTGGTAGTTCTAAATATGTACATACCTAATAGCATAGCTTCAAAACAAAAATATTATCAATTTACAAGAAGAAACAGACAATCCACAAATGAAACTGCAGGTTTTAATATAACACATCAATAACTGATAAATCCATTTTTACAAAGTTAGTAAATTTGAATGGTGTAATAATAATAATAATAAAAAGCTTGATCCAACAGACATGTAGAATCCTACACCTAACAGAGACAACACTGTTTTCATGAACCATTTACTTTTTAAAATGACCTCAAGCCTAGCCACAAATAAAGTTTAAACAAATACCAAATATTTAATATCTTGCAGATTATGACCTGATCATAGTGGAATAAAGTTGGAAATCTATTTTCTTAAAATACTTTTTAAACTAACACATTTTAAAATACTGGTCAAAGAAAAATATTTACTATTTAGAACTGGACAATAACAAAGATGCTACATCATCAATACTTGTGGGATGCATGTTGAGTGGAACTTAAAAAAATAAAAAAGACTAAATATGAATGTGCTAAGTGTCTGATTAAGACAATAAAAAAAGAACAATAAAGTCAAAATAGAGAAAGAAAATTAAAAAGAGTAGAAAATTTGAGAATAGCAATGATACAACTAAGAGCATTAACAAATTCAAAAGCTGATTCTTTGAAATAGAACAGCCCTGGCTCAGTCGGTTGGGTGTCATCCCACACACCCAAAGGTCGCCAGTTTGGTTCCCGGTCAGGGCACGTGCCTGTGTTGCTGGCTCGATCCCCGGTGGGGGTTGTGCAGGAGGCAGCTGATCAATATTTCACCCTCGTATCAGTGTTTCTCTCTCCTTCTCCTTTCCTCTCTCTCTAAAAATCAATTTTAAAAATCTTTTAAAAAAACAAACAGAAACTTCTGGCAAGACTAAGCAAGAAGAGAGAGAAGACAATAAGCAATATCATAAATACCAAAGGGGACATGAATATAGATATATCAGAGAATAAAACAAAAAATAATACTATGAATAATACTGCCTTAGTCAATTGGAAAAAATTAAGACAAAATGAACAATTTCCTAGAAAAAAAGAACTTAAAATAAATCTGAGGAGAAACTGAAAAGCTAGATATATATTTCCATTATATAAAGAAAATCAATAGTTAAAAATCCTACCCACAGACCAAAAAGAAAAACAACAAACCAAACCCCAACAATGAAAAACATATACTCACTTTTTTTTTTTTAATTTCTTTTTTTTGTTGTTAATCTTCACCTGAGGATATTTTCCCACTGATTTTTTTTTTTTTTTTT